TTTCTTTTTGCTTATGTGGTGCTGAGGAATCAAACCCAGGGCCTCATGCATGCAAGGCAAGCGCTCTACCACTGAGCCACCTTCCCAGCCCCAGCACTTATTTTTTATTGATTTTTTTAACCACTCTTTGGTTTTCTGGTAGTTAATTAGTGGTGTCTCACGGACTTTCCTGACAGCTGGTTTTGAACCGAGATCCTCAGATCTCAGCCTCTTGAGTAGCTAGGATTACAGGCATGATAGCCACTAGCACCCAGCTTCTTCTTTGCTCAAGGCTGGTGCTCTACCACTTGAGCCATAGCGCCACTTGTCTTTTTTGTTTTGGTAGTTTATTGGAGATGAGTCTTATGGATTTTCCTGCTTGGGATGGCTTTAAACCACTGTCTTCAGATCTCTGCCTCCTAAGTACCTAGGATTATAGGTGTGAATCACCGGTATTTTTACAGATATAATTTTTTTTTTGTCAGTTGTGGGGCTTGAACTCTGGACCTGGGCACTGTCCCTCAGCTCTTCAGCTCAAGGCTAGCGCTCTACCACTTGAGCCACAATGCCACTTGTGGCTTTTTCTGTTTATATGTTGCTGAAGAATCGAACCCAGGGCCTCATGCATGCAAGGCAAGCACTCTACCACTGAGCCACCATCCCAGCCCCAGAAATAATTTTGATATTGAAGACCTCTTGAAAGAGTCTCAGGGACCTATAGGGATTTCAACAGTATACTTTTTTTTTTTTTTTTTTTTGGGTCCAGTCGTGGGGCCTGAACTCTGGGCCTGGGCGCTGTCCCTCAGCTCTTCAGCTCAAGGCTAGCGCTCTACCACTTGAGCCACAGCGCCACTTCCGGCTTTTTTCTTTTTGCTTATGTGGTGCTGAGGAATCGAACCCAGGGCCTCATGCATGCAAGGCAAGCACTCTACCACTGAGCCACCATCCCAGCCCCAGAAATAATTTTGATATTGAAGACCTCTGAAAGAGTCTCAGGGACCTATAGGGATTTCAACAGTATACTTTTTTTTTTTTTTTTTTTTGGGTCCAGTCGTGGGGCCTGAACTCTGGGCCTGGGCGCTGTCCCTCAGCTCTTCAGCTCAAGGCTAGCGCTCTACCACTTGAGCCACAGTGCCACTTCCAGTATTTTTTTTGCTTATGGGTGCTGAGGAATCGAACCCAGGGCCTCAAGCATGCAAGGCAAACGCTCTACTACTGAGCCACCTTCCCAGCCCATCAACAGTATACTTTGAAGACCTGTGCTGTAAAGAAAGGAGATGACAACTGCCATTCATGTTAATTAAATATTAGCATTATGTAAAGTATACCACTTTTTTTTGTTGTTGTTCGGTTGTGGGTCTTGAACTCTGGGCCGGGGTGCTGTCCCTCATCTCTTCAGTTCAAGGCCAGCACTCTACCATTGAACCATAGCACCACTTCCAGTTTTCTGGTGGTTAATTGGAGTTAAGACTCTCATGGACTTTCCTGCCCAGGCTGGCTTTGAGCCACGATCCTCAGATCTCAGCCTCTTGAGCTGAGGATTATAGGCATGAGCCACTGGGCCCAGCTAAGTGTATCATTCCTGATACTTCAAATCCTCAAACTTGATATTGTCTATACTTTTTGATGAGACACTAGATTTAGGAAAGTTATATCTCTTGCAATAAGTTACACAGCTCCAATATGGGTAGGTCTTATTCTAGAAAGGTTCCTTTCACCTCACCAAGCTCTAGAAGACAGAGGGAAATATCAGCCTATCGGGGATTAAGAAACCCCGCCTCTCCTCCCCCCCAGCCAGGTATGGTGGCATATGCTTCGAGTTTATTGCCATCGGGGGCTATATAGTAAAACTTGTCTCAAAGAAAAAAAGCAGCAGCAGCAGCAGAACTCTTCCATCAAGTCCTCACCTTTTGGGCTACTAGTGATGTTTGCACTGAGTGAGGAAGGACTTGTGCTCAGGAGCACATCTTCTTCACCTGCTGAGCTCTGGGCATCCACTTTCTTTACTTCTTCTGGAACCCTTGATTCAGAGAGGTCATCCCCCTGGGGTGTGAGTGCTTTATGCTGGCAGATAGCTGGGTCTCTTGGTACCAAAAAAGCACTAGGATCAAAACTTTCACGAGGAAATTTAACAATTTTCTGTGATTTTATCCACCGGCCATTAACAAACTGAAATCTTTTCAGGTGAATAATCTGGAGAAGAAAAGGCAGGAAACATCTGCATTAAAGGATTCTGAGGATATAAAAATTCCATTATGAAAAACAATGTATAATATTTAATTTTCTTTTTCTTTTCTTTTTCGTTCTTTCTTTCTTTCTTTTTTTTTTGTGCTGGTCCTAGAGCTTGAATTCAAGGCCTGGGAGCTTTCTCTGAAAAAACCATTTTTTTTTTCCCCTCAGAGCTAATGTTCTACCATTTGAGCCACATGACTTTTTGGTACTTAATTAGAAATTAAGTCTCAGACTTTCTGCCCAGGCTGGCTTTGCACCATGATCCTCAGATCTTAGCTTCCTAAATAGCTAGGATTATAGGCATGAACTACTGGTGCCTTGCTCATTTTTTTTGGCTAGTCCTGGGGGGCCTGAGCACTGTCCCTGGGTTTCTTTTTCTTTTGTTTTTGTCGGTCATAGGGCTTGAACTCTGGGCCTGTGCTCTGTCCCTGCGTGCTTCAGCTCAAGGCTAGTGCTCTACTACTTGAGCCACAGTGCCACTTCGGTGTTCTGAGTGGTTTATTGGAGATAAGAGTCTTACAGACTTTCCTGCCCAGGCTGGCTTTGAACTATGATCCTCAGATCTCAGCCCCCTGAGTAGCTAGGATTACAGGCATGAGCCACTGGGCTTCCCTGAGCTTCTTTTTGAACAAGGCTAGCACTATACCACTATGAGCCATAGTGCCACTTCTGGCTTTTTCTGTTTATATGGTACTGAGAAAGTGAACCCAGGTTTTCATGCATGCTACCCAAGCACTCTACCACTAAGCCACATTCTCAGTCCTCATTAGCCTTTAAATACCTCAAAACTATGTTCCTTATAACTGCCTTTACTCCATGATGTTTACGCGGTGGTTATAGAAGTATATAAAATTGTTAAAATCCATCCAACTGGACATTTATTTATTTATTTTTGTTGGCTGTGGGGTTAGAATGCAGGGCCTGGGCACTGTCCTTAAGCCTTTTTTGCTCAAAGCTCATGAACTTTCCTGCTTGGGCTGGCTTTGAACTGTGATCTTCAGATCTCAGTAAGCCACTGGTACCTGGCAAACTGGACATTTAAGATCTATGCATTAACTGCATGCTAATTATACCTTAATTTAAAATCTCCAGATTTACTGTGTTCCCAGCTTTACTGTGTACCTGTCCTTTCCTTCCCTCCCTTCCCCTAGCTCTCACTTCTGGAGATAGCTAAAACAATGTCATCAGTTTTTGCCTTGGGAAGCGGTTTTGGAAAAAAAAAATCGACATTCAGTTTCACAGAGCGATAGGATGAAGACACAAATAAAAAAAATACAATGTCTGTTTATAATATCCAAGCACTGCTGAAGTACAAGCACAAGATTCTAAATTCCATCTCCAGCAAGCTCCCTCAACACATTCTTTCCTGCTAAAAGGTAATTGTATCCATAGGGAAAATGCTTTCTTAAATACATTTGTTGCTTTAAACTGTTCTATTGGGCAACAGGAAAGTCTCCTAATCCATGAAGGAAATAAAATCTAAAGCAATATACAAACTCCTGTGCATTGGTGGAAATACACTCGACTCAGAAGTAAGCTGAACATGAGACCACACTCAGTGGGCTCGGGAAGTTCCTGGCTTGGTTGTTCTACTATAATCTAATAGCCTAAGGTTTCCTTTCTGCATACAGCCAGAAGAGCTTTCATCCCTTTTGGAAGTTCAAATTTACTTAGGGTATTCTACTGTAGAACTTCAATGTCATGCTGAATTGCAGTTACTGGCCTGTTACTTCCCTCCTCCTAGGCTTAAGCTCTTCAGAAGCAAAAAACACAAATAGTTTTAGAACAATTCATCTCCATGCTCAATATAAAAACCTTGCACAGAAAAGGTGCTTTAGGAATTTTTTTTTTTTTTTTACTTTTGGTGGTACTGGGGAGGTTTGAATTCAAGACTTTGTGATATCTTAGGTGTTTTATTACTTTAGCCCTGACTCTAGCTCAGAAAGTGGTGTAAAGACTACCATAGCTTTTCAAAAACAACAATAACTCATTTATGGTTTATTTCCTTTACATCAGACTCCTGCTGTTCAGAGGCAGGGCTGGAACATACCAGGATGGGGGGAAGCCTCCAGAGATCCAGCTTCTTGGTTGCCAAGCAATGGGTTTTACACTTGGAACAGTAGTACATCTCATTTTCCCCTAGCTCCTCCTCACTGGTGAAAGCCCGGAGACAGTTGTCTAGGTTGATGGGCTCAGCTTGTGCTCGCCGACTCTGCTCTACACTCTCATGCTCATCTACAACCTGCAGGAAGAGGGGACAGGAGGGTGCTTAAAATAGTCACCTAGATTTTCATTAGCCTGTCAGTCACTCATTATCTGCATGAGTAAAGAGAAATTACAACCTAAATTAGAGTACATGCCTTTATTCATAAATATCATATCAACAATATCCTGAATAAATTTTCTTTTCTTTTTTTTGCCAGTCCTGGGGCTTGAACTCAGGGCATAGGCACTGGCCCTGAGCTTCTTTTTGCACAAGGCTAGCACTCTACCACTTGAGCCACAGCACCACTTCTGGCTTTTTCTGTTTATGTGGCACTAAGAAAGTGAACCCAGGGCTTCATGCATGCTAGGCAAGCACTCTACCACTAAGCCACATTCCCAGCCCCTGAATAAACTTTCTATCTATATGACCTGTCTTTTTTTTCCCATTTTGATAAATATTACTTTACATGATTAGAGGCACAGAGGCATTGAGCCTTTGGGTTCCAAATTTTCTTGAAAAATTTCTGACAAGGCATTGCTTGTCTATTTCACAATTTTGGAATTCTCAAAACTGTTTACATGTAAACTAGGTTTCAAGCTAGGGTTACTAAGAATAGTCATTTATTTTTTAATCAGCCTTATTAGTATGATGCAGGCCTTATAGATAGGAGAAATAGTGTCACTAAACACAGATGCCAAATCTGGATGAAGGATACAAAAAAATACACAATAAGACAACATATCAAATAATATAGCTTATTTGCATATCAGCACCAGATTTATTAGAATACACAGATTTATTAGAGTACCAGGTGTACTAGCTGCCTCCTGCCTCTGTTTTGGGGGCCTTTTGTGGGAGGGAGTGATACCAGTGACCTCATACATACTAGGAAAGCACTCTACCACTGTGCTACCCTAGTCCTGTGGGGCCTTTAAATAATAAAAGGAAGAACAAGCTTACATGCTTTTGTTAAGAAAGCCCCTAATATCTGCCCAAACACCAGAAATTCTGGGAACCAGCATGCTAGGTTTTGGAATAATAGGTCAGTAAGTTTAAAAGAGGAGAGAACAAGGGCTAGAGTATAGTTTAGTGATAGTAATGCTTGCCTAGTATATTTGAGGGTCTGGGTTCAATCTCCAACATGAAGGGAATACAAAAACAAAAAAAAGAGAGGAAAGCAAATGGTAGGGAGGACAAAAGAAAGGAAAGTGGCAGGAGGCTGAGATCTGAGGATCAAGGTTCAAAGCCAGCCCAGGCAGGAAAGTCCGGGGGACTATCTCCAATTAAACACTCAGAAACCTGTAAGTAGCACTGTGGCTCAAGTGGTAGAGCATCAGCCTTGAGCTGAAGAGCTGAGAGACAGCGCCCAGGCCAAGTTTAAGGCTCTCCCCCACCCCCAACAACAACAACAAAAACGGGATGTGGTAAGGAGGAATAAGACAGGGAAGTGGCTAGAATGCAACAGTAAGATTTTTTTTCCCTCTCCCATTCCAGGCTACCATCTGAAAAACAATCCAGAACTACAGAGAACCTTCTTATTGTCTCTACTATGATAAAAAGATGGGAAAGCCCTAAAATCAGGAATATGAAGGTCACAATGAGACTTCAGAGGTATTTTTAGGCAGAGCCTTCACTCCAAGCCCAACAGTGACCTGCCTCTCTTTCTGACAAAGGTCATACATTTTGGCCTATCACCCCACTTATTGCCTTTTCCCCACAGAGGTGGACTGCTTATCTTTACCTGAAGCAATTTCTTGCATGTTTCCCTCACTTAAACTCATGGGAACAGCAAGTTGCTTGGATTACTGTCAGAACTTAGCTCATTCCATTTAGAATAGCTTTTTTTCTTTTTCTTTCTTCTCTTTGGTTAGTGGTGGGGCTTGAACTCAGGGCCTGGACATTGTCCCTGAGCCCTGAGTTGCTCAAGGATAACACTCTACCACTTTGAACAATAGTACCACTTCAGGTTTTCTGGTGGTTAACTGGAAATAAGATCTCATAGACTTTCCTGCCTGGGATGTCTCTGAACCATGATCCTCAGATCTCAGCCTCCTGGGTAGCTAGGATTACAGGCATGAACCATTGGAGCCCAGCCTAGAACAGATTTTTCAGGAAAGACTTTCCCTAAAGGAGAGGATGGCTGAACCACAAGGCTGTCAAATGCCCCAATAAACTGTCAAGGTTGGAGTCCAGCATATAATTAAGGTTTTAGCATTGCATCATCATGTGAACTAAATAACTCATTTCAAAATAGTAACTTAGGCCAGATGCCAGTGGTTCATACTTGTAATCCTAACTACTCAGGATGCTGAGATCTGAATGAAGATCAAGGTCCAAACTTAGCCTGGGTATTTAGTCTGTGAGACTCTTATCTTGAATTAACTACTCAAAAAAAGCTAAAAATGGAACTGTGGTTCAAGTGGTGTGTGCTCAAAGCACTAGCTTTGAGCACAAAAGGGCTCATACGCTGGGTCTAGGTGCTGTATCTGAGCTTCTTTTTGTTGAAGACTAGTGCTGTATCATTTGAGCCACAGCACCACGTCCAGCTTTTTTTCTTTTTTTTTTTCCCTGTGATTAATTGAAGATAAGTTTCACAGGCCTTCTAGCCTTGGCTGGCTTCAAATCACGATCCTTAGATCTTAGCCTCTTGAGTAGCTAGGATTATAAGTGTAAGCCACTGGCACCCAGATAAAATCTGGGTTGTTTTTTGTTGTTGTTGTTTGTTTTAACAAAGGAAATCTGCTTTCATCTTGGGTGACTGACTTCTGCGCATAAATTCTATTTTAATTTGTATTTTTGAAACAAGGTCTCACTATGTATCCCAAGCTGGCCTTAATTTCCTGGTTCTCCTTCCTCCATTTCCAGAGTGCTAGGATTATAGGCATGAGCCCTCATGACTGTTTTTCTCAGTGTCTTTTGAGTCGTCACTTAAAAGGAAAAATGGATGTGCTTTAAAGGAAACATGTATCAGGATTTTGGGCACGAGCAGAAACAGGTGTATCAAATATAGCAGTGTCTCTTAAAGCAAGTTAAATATTACCTCTATTCTGTCCAAAATGTTTTATGGCCAACCACATATTATAGTATGCTAGTAAAAGTTGTTGATTTTTTATTGACTGTATATTCTGTGGAACACAGGCTATAGAGGGAGGTGGGTACTGGGGAAAAAGGAAGACTGACAAAAACATTTGTAGACTGAAAATAGTTTAGCAATAAAAGTTCCATAAATGAAAAAGGTGTCCTTCTTGGGATCCATGCTCAGATAATCTACTATTGTTTAAATAGCGTAATTATTTAATAGACTCAAAAACTATAAGAAGATAGGTAGAGAAAGCATACACATTTTTAGGATGGTACTGGTATCTGAACTCAGGGCTTCCTACTTACTATGCAGATTGATGCTCTACCACTTGAGCTATGCCTCTGGTTGTTTTACCTTTGTATTACTATATTTTTTAAAATTGAAATTACTGAGGTTTGAACTCAGGCTTTTTTCTTTTTTGTCGGTTGTGGGGCTTGAACTCTTGTCTGGGCCGGGCATTGTCCCTCAGCTCTTCAGCTCAAGGCTAGCATTCTACCACTTGAGCCACAGCACTACTTCTGGTTTTCTGTTAATTGGAGATGATAGTCTCACAGACTTTTCTGCCTAGGCTGGCTTTGAACCTTGATGCTCAGATCTCAGCCTCCTGAGTAGCTAGGATTACAGACTTAAGCCACCAGTGCCCAGCTGAACTCAGGCTTGAACCCACTTGGCTAAGCTTCCTTGCTTATGTTCTACTACTTGCACCATACCTTCCTCCAGCCTGGCTTTCACTGGAGATTTTTTTGTTTTTTTTTGTAGATGTCATCGATTTTTTTGGCACTGATTGGCTCTGAGCCATGATCCTCTGGATCTTGTCTTCCAAGTGTCTGTGATTACAGGTGAGAGCCAATGGCACCTGGTTCCCTTTATATTCTTTTTTTTTTTTTTTGCCAGTCCCCAGGACTGAACTCAGGGTCTGGGGCCTGTCCCTGAGCTTCATTTTGCTCAAGGCTAATACTCTACCACTTTGAGCCATAGCACCACTTCCAGCTTTTTCTGTTTATGTGGTACTGAGGAATTGAACTGAGGGTTTCATGCATGCTAGGCAAGCACTCTACCACTAAGGCACATTCCCAGCCCATATATTCTTTTCATTCTTTTTTTCTTTGCCAGTCCTGGGGCTTGAACTCAGGCCCTGAGCTTTTTTTTTTCTCAAGGATAGCGCTCTACCATTTGAGCCACAGCTCCACTTCCAGCTTCCTGGTGGTTAATTGGAGATGAGAGTCTGATGTACTTTCCTGCCCAGAGTGGTTTCAAACTGTGATCCTCAGATCTCAGCCTCCTGAGTAGCTAGGATTACAGGTGTAATAGTAAATAGTTGTGTGTGTGTATGTGTGTGTGTATGTGTGTGTGTGTGTACACGTCTGTGTTTTTTTTTTTTTTTGGGTCTGGTCGTGGGGCCTGAACTCTGGGCCTGGGCACTGTCCCTCAGCTCTTCACCTCAAGGCTAGCGCTCTGCCACCTGAGCCACAGTGCCACTTCTGGCTTTTTTTTTTTTTGCTTATGTGGTGCTGAGGAATCGAACCCAGGGCCTCATGCATGCAAGGCAAGCGCTCTACCACTGAGCCACCTT